TGTGTTGAAAGGAAAGCACCTTCATTAGAAATCAGCTCAGCAGCAGAGGAAAAGGATCTGAAAGAGTCTCTGGACTCTTCATTAGTACCAGCTATAGACAAGACCGGTCAAGAAGCGCAGTTAGACAATCAATCAGAAATCAGACTGTGGCTGCTGCAGAAAATTCAAGTGCCAATTGAAGGTAGGTCTCTGGTTATCCTCGTTTCCTCTGAGACTTGGACAGCATTGTGACGGTAACCTTTGGATTGATAGCCTTCTGCTCTAAATTTCTTCCTTCTATAATACCTGGTCCTTCCTTAACTCTTGTATCTTATATTTTTATATTATCTGCTATTCAGGAAAAAAAAAATTGCCTTTCTCAGTGATTGCAGTTTATATAATCTTCACCTCTGCTTACTGGCTTTAAGGAGGACAGCGAAACATCACCCAGTTGCAGCATTGCCAGGGTCACTTCATGGCCTAGGATTTGTCGCTCTGTATTGATTACTTTTGTTGCTTCAGTGAAGTCTGTCTGTGTTTTTCTGATAGTGCCCAAAGTAGTAGTGCAGTGCTGTAAAGGGGGGGTACCAAAGCATTCTTGACACTGTTTGCATCTGTCTCATATCTTTCATGCTATGCAAAGAAGTGATAAATAGGAATATATGGACAGTTGTACTGACATTATTTTGTCCTGATTGGTGGCTGGGTTATCACAAATAAAATCTAGGCTATCACTGGAAAGCATGTAACAAAATGACAGCTTGATTTAGACAGCGTGTACACACATTACTACTTCTCCTACAGCCCAGTGTCTTTAAGCACCAGTCTACCCTGGAGCACTGATGCTCCTCTCTTGGTAGTTTAATAAACAAGTGGACATACTCTTGATTCATATCAGGTGGAGAGGGATGATCAGTGTGAAGTCTTTACTTGAAAAACGGATGTTCTTAAAATGATTTTTCCTTTTTTCCAGAAGGGTTTATATGTTGTTAGTGGTTTGGTGATCATCTTCCTTGGAAGAGAATGGAAAATATGTCTGTATGTGTACTCCTAAAATTAATGAGGCAACTTTAGTGTGACTGAGGCTGTAGTTTAATAAGCAACTTTTTTTTTGTCACACTACCAATTTAAGGAACTTAACTGCTCTTAATGCTTGACTCTGTCTTATGCAGACAAAATATTTTTGTATGGCAGACTGTCAAAGCTGAGGAATTAATTGGGCTTTGTGTGCGTATGTGTACACAAAAAACCCTTCAGCTGGGTGGGTTTCCTGGACTCAGTCAAACACTGTCCCCTTCACTTGCCTGCTTTGTGTTGCAGTTTGCACCCACCCTGATGATCTTACTGTTTTGCTTTACAGGGCTATTCTGTACCCATCTGTACAGCTGAGGGATGTACAGGCTATGCCAAAATGGGAATACATGGCCACAGTTTAGGATGATTAAGGATTTTTTTAAACCAGTTTTGCTATTGAAGGACATGTTGGGTTTAATTTTGTGTGTGGTGCCTCTGAGTATTCTTTTGCACAAGATTATTAACCTTTGTGACAATGTTTTATCAGCTGCAGTATTCGTGCTTTGCTGTAAGCAGCCCGTTTCTTCTCTCCCATTCAGATATGCTTCCTTCAAAAGAGGAGAAGAGCAAGACTCCTCCAATGTTTCTGTGCATTAAAGTAGGCAAGCCCATGAGAAAGTCCTTTGCATCTCAGAGCACCACCATGTCTCAACAGTACAGTAAAAAGATAAAGCAGCCAGAGTACTGGTTTGCTGTTCCTCGAGAGAGGTAAGCAGCAGTGCACAACATGGCAACATCTTTGTCTCTATTTTTTTTTTTTTTAAATGTGTAGTGCTTTCTAGAGTTGAATCTGACTTTCCCTTTGTGGTCCAAGGTGTGAAATGCAGCAAGGATGGTCAGATTAGGAGTACCCTCGTTTCATTGCAAGCCAGAGAGATAAAGCAGTATTTGTTGCTGGTCTAATAGGGCTCCCACTGGGCAGGAAGAAGGGATATGGTGCTTCTTGGGAGAGGAAAAGAGGGATGTATGTGCTGCTAACATAGGATAAAATCACTGTGAGGGATGGTTTGGTTTTCAGCCGTGGTCTAGGAAGTGAGGGAAGGGGAAAAAGGGGAGCAGTGGCAAGGGAGGCAAGGAAATCCACTGAGGCACCAGTGCTAAAAAATAGGTATTTCAGGTGAGCAAAAAGCATAATGTCGAAATGGGAGACACCCCTAACTGAATGGGTGTGGTTGTTTCAGTGTTCAGGCCCATAAGAAAAGTTCCTTCCTTTGTGAGAAAATCTATTTAAATGTTTTATGTGCCTGTAGATGTGTACATGTGCATACATAGTACTATAGCAAAAAAAAGGACTATGATTTTCCACATAAATCACCCAACATTTTTCATTGGCTATGAGGAACCCAATCCCTTGTCCTTCTTTTGCTAAAAGGCAACTAGAGCAACTCTCTCGTCTGTTTATGAAGCAAAATAGAGAAATCAGTGATGACACTCCTGGTGAATTACATACTAGGAAGGAGGAATCTGAACTGGTGATCAACCTCAAAAAACATCTCTTCAAGATGCAGACAATTTTTTTTTTCTTTTTTTAGAAAATAATTTGTCAGAATATTTAATTTTATTTACAAATTTGTAGCACATGTGTTAAGTGCTTGTTTCTTGTATTTTAGAAATGAGTGTTTTGAGCAGACCAATAGCATAGAAGTTGCTGGCCCAGGGCAGGATCAGGAGAGGTTTAATCCAGTTGGAATGTGGCTGCTGGGCATGTAGGTGAAGATAGCTTTTGGTTTGCTTGCTTATCTGCTGCACCCAGTCCTTGGCTCTTCAGGGATTGCAAAAGGGCAGAATCAGAAAATACTAGGTTGATGTGTGAGTAAATACTTCAAGGAGTTGGAGTGATGCTGTAACATAACACAAGGTCAGTTATTGCCTAGGGGATAGTGTGTCTAATGTTGGATAAAACTGCTGAGCTGAAATGAGGTCGTTTCTGATTGTTGCTCTGTGCAACAGGTAAATCTGTTAAGCTTCTTACCACAGACTTGGAAAACAGCTTCTCCACTTGTTTTCTGAATAGTGAGGTGACCTAACCCATATATAAACTGAAGTGTTGACAGATGGTTTGTGCTTCAGTTTTTATAACAAGGAAAAAGTAATCTCTGCAGCGAGCTGTTGCAGTGGCGCTTGGCTGTGCTGGCTGACAGGACAGGTCTTTGCTGTCGGGCCTGCTCTCCAAACCTTGATCAAAATTTGTGGTGAATGTAGCATAAGATTGGGTCATTTTGGTGCTGTTCATGGATGGCTGTTTCAACACCAGAGAGGTGCATAAAACATCATGTAGAACTTGGGGCAAAACTAAAATGTGAGACCTGCTGCTTCCTATGACATAAGAAATGTCTTTGCCAAAGAAGTCAGCCTTTTCTCCAGATTCCTGGCTGCCTTCCCAAAGCAAAAACCCAAACCAAACCCTGTTTCTCGCCTCCAGTAGATGTTCTTGCACCAGTAATGCATAATATGCAATTATCAGTGTTGCATTGTGTGGTCACCCATGGCCCACATGGCGTGGCTGGTTAATCAGTGACTGTCGGGTGCCTTCTGCTGCCTCATCTTGGCACGTAGCGGGGGAGAAGGACAACTCGAGTCACCTTATATAGAGATTACTCAGTCTAGGGCAGCTTCTTGTCAGCTTCAACAGAAGCATCCATGCTTTTGGACACTAACAGAGATTATTTTGCTGAGAAGTCTTGCAATGGGTGTAGCTTACGGTATGAGAGGGTAAGTCTGTGTGCATGCTTACTATATGGACTTAAGTGGTGTGTAGATTTTCCTCCCTAGTGGATTTCGAGTAGTAGTACCTCAGTAATGTCACAGATTTTCCCAGGGTGTTGCAGAGGAAAATGCCTGCCACTGGGTCAAATGTAGTAATGCAGAAATTCTTTGGTTATAAACGTATGTCCTTACAAATGATTTGTTCATTTTAGCACTGACTAGTTCCTCAGTTAAAAAGTAAACCTCACTGTTGATCTATAATATAAATTTGGCAAACAGGTTTGATTTATGAATGTATCATTTGCATTGATGTTGATGTAAAAGACATTTCATTGGGATTGTGCTGCTGAGAGGGCATCTGCTTCTTTGGAAGCATCTTTTTTGAGAGCAGGCAGATTTTCAAGGAGGAAAAATAACAGGGGTTGAGCCTTCCTTGTCTTTTATCAGTCTTAGCTTTCTGGTCCATTGGTCTTTTGTTTGGTTGGTTTGGCTTGGTTTTTGAGGTTTTGGGGTTTTTTGTTTGGTTGGTTTGGAAAGTTGAGTGAGTTTTGGTTTGGTTTTTGTTAATATTTCTGTGGACTTTCCCTTGGTAGAGCAACATGTTGCTTGGTTGTGACCTGTTAATATCTAGTGCTTAACACCCTGTAGTTAAGATGGTGAAAGCTGAGATCTGGAAGAATTTGCAGCAGAACTAGCTGGAGTCATTACCTCCATGATGTTTCTGTGCACCTACACATGGCTTGGCATAAAGGGACAATGTTTAGCTGGTCCTGATTCTGAAGTATCGCTCTGCCATACTCCTGTTAATGGAATGGAATAGGTAGCATAGATTTAGACTCCTTTTGAATTAGCCTTCTACAAGTAGAGCACTCCTGGACTTCTGATAAATAAAATATCAAACTATGCAGATGAAACCTATGCAAACCTGTTTGTATCTACAGCTTAGTGTCTTATAATGAGGGCTCATACAAGCATGTGTGGTTTTGTAGTACCTTAGCTCTCGTAAGATTCATGAGGGTTCATCATCTAGTCTGTAATGTTTATAACAAAGTCATAGGACTCTGATTCCTGTTTGTAGGCCAGGAGCTGTGGCTGAGCTTAGAGCCTTTGTACGTGTATCACAGGGTGCACAAACCCTCCTTCACCACCCAAACACACAATTTGGAAGTAGCTCCCTTCTCACCAGAACAAAATAATTTATGGAAAACTAGGCAGATGTTGTTGAGAGATGAACAGAAATGGTAGTGGTGATTTCATTTATGGTTCCCTGTCAAGGATCAGCTGCAACTTCACAAGTTGCGTGGTGTGTTGTATTGATAATTGCCTTTGCTCCTTTTCAGTGCATTATATACTTGCTTTAATTCTTCTTGCTTCCAGTCCCTGGTTGTGGTTGTCTCTGTATTACCAAGACTCAGCTCCTCTCAGTGTAGGCTATCACAGAGCATCACCACTGTAAGCTAAATAGCTCTTTCTGCCTCTTGCTCTACCACAGTTGGTTTTGCTCTCTCATCTTTAAGCTGCAGTGCTTGAGTACGACTTGGGAATGGTGCACTGGAGATGGGCAAAGTATTCCAGCAGTGGTCACCAAAGTATCTGACCCCAAACTAAACAGTCTCCTTCATTCTGATGCATGTTGCTTTCTTGGTTCATTCAAAAATCACACCAAGTATTCTCATCAGTGTGGTGGTGCAGAGCTCTTGCTCCAAAATTCAGAGCTGTTATCCCAGGTCTCTAGGGCCCTGGCTACAGCTGGGGCCTGTTTTCCTCTTTAATCAGTGTTCCAGCTTTGATTTTTGATTTGTCTCTCCTAGGCTAGGTTTTTTATTGTGTGGTGTTTTTTGTTTGTTTGTTTTTTTTTATTATTATTTTTGTTTTGTTTTTTAGTTTCCTGTTATTTTTTCCTGTTGAGTAATTTCTTTCTGAAGTGATTAACTTAAGGTTTCTGAAGGTGTTCCTTTCCAAGTACTTTGTTTTATTGATGTTTCTCTGTTAGAGCATGACACAAGCATGTGATCACCAAAACAGTTATTGAGTTCTAGGGTAAATTTCCTTAGCGCTGTCAAATTTGCTGTAAGAGAGTTCCTCAAGCAGTGTTTTTTTCAAGTTAAAAATTGTCTCAAATTTTTTCAACTTGGTAGCTTGGAAATACCACCATAGCATAATGATACGATTTTATTAACAGAGAAGTGATGCTCTGCATCCACTTTCAGAATGACCTCACTCCTGCAGTCACCTATTTCTCATTTTATGCTTCTGCTTCTTAAATGTGGAGCGTCGGGATTTGTTTAACATCTGTCCATCGTAGAGGAAAACTTAGTTATGGACTACTCCAGATAAACTGAGCATATACAGGCCTGTGGGGCCTGACAGGAAATATCCTGAGTGTACTGAGGAAGTTGGTTGATGTTACTGCAAGGCTGCTTTCTGTCATCCTTGTAAAGGTTATAATCACCTTAATCATTAGAACTAAGTTAGAACTCTTGTGGACATTTTCACAACTGGAAATGGACAAGACTGTTGAGTCTCCTCTACCTTGGAAGCTAGCTCTGCTATGCACAAAAAGTGGCCTAGATGATCTCCAGTGGTGCCTTGCACCACTGCAGTTCTGAGATGAGCATATGCAGCTCTCCTCACCCACTTGCATGAACGTGCTTACAGACTGATCATAGCTAGACAGCAGCAAACACCAGTTTCATGGTTCTTACATAGGCACTTGTAGGAATTGAGTACTTGGCTCTCCAGACTAGGACCTCAGGACATGAAATACACAGTGATCAAAATGTCTCTGAGTTAAAAATCACGTTAGTTACCAAAGAGATGATCATATTGCTCTTTCTGAAGCCCCTGTGAGCAAGTGAAGAGGACCAGGGCATTTATAGATGTGGGAAGACTTCTGCGGTTAAAGAGAAGGTCCTGACTAAAATGAGATCATAGAGCTTTTAGAAGTGCCTTCCATAGTTCACTGGTTTTTAGATCTATGCAAACTTGTAAGCAGTCACATGGCTTCTCACAGAGAAGGGGGAATCCTTAGCAATGGGAGTGTAACCCTTTTTTAACCTTTCCTGGGCAATTATTGGTGAGAACTATCCCAAACACTGATGGTTTGCACAGTACTTCTTTAACCTTTTCTGTGTGTATGTGTTGCTGCAGAGGAACAAGCAGCAGCTAAAATTTTTACTTTTATATAAAACATCAGCTATCTTCCTTATTCTTGATGAAGGGAGGCTGCTGATGCCTCAGGAGCTGGTGTTGAGTGTTCACAAAATTAGGGCAATTGTACTAAAACCTCTTTGCTTGTATATATTAAAAATGTTTCACCGCTACAGTTCTTACTTGATAACAAAAATTTAAACTCTGCTAGAACATCTGTTAGCCGTGCATCAGAGAAGCATTTATGAATGTGCAAAGGAGAAAAGAAAAAACTGATGCCAGTGCTAATTTGTTCCTTTTTCATGATTAGGAGGACATTTCCATGATGAAGTCAAGTCAATCCTTTATTCCTTTTGAGTGTAGTGGAAATGGGATCCAAATTTCTTGAGGCCAAAGTGAGTAAAGCCTCCAGGTAGACTTGATTGGAATTATATTAGTGACTCTGAACAGAATCCAACAATGCTGAAACGGTGTTTTAAGATTATTTGTGCATATATATAAATCCAAGTGACTTGAAATACAGGGGGGAAGTGTTCGAATTTCTCTGTGTTTTCTTGTTCTCTGTTGATCAAGGAATTCCCAGACAAAACTGTCTGGTGAATACCTGGAGAAAGATCCAGTGCCATAAGTACCATCCTTCTAGCTACCCTCTTTAATTAGGGTTTGATTTTTTTTTTTTTCTGGCAATACAACTTCTTGTACAATGGATCCGCTATCGTATTCCTGTTTGAAATTGCATGTGTTTAATGTACTACATAAATTCCTTCTTCAGAAATGGTTTCAATGTTTGCTGTGGGTGTTGACAAAGAGCCTCTGTAGAGGCAGTGCCTTGGGGCTGGAGGCAGGTGTGGAAGCGTGCACGCCGTGGGGACTGGTTCATTAGCACAGCTGTCAGCAGCTGCTTCCTTCCTTTCCTTATGCAAACAGAACGAAGGATTGTTTGTTTCCCAAGTATTGTGGGAAGTGAAAGCAAAAAAAACCTTGAAGTGCTTCAGGCTGCCAGGTGGAGGGAGCTGTTGCCTTGTGTGCTATGTGAGGGTGGAAATACACGGGTATCCTATTTGTGTGGTTGTCCCTTCTTTGTCATTGAGGAAACCTCTGTACTATGGGGAAGTCCTGTGTTCATGGAGCAGTGAACAATGGCCGTTTCCTCCTCTGTTTCCAGGGTGGATCACTTGTACACATTTTTTGTCCAGTGGTCACCAGAAATATATGGGAAAGATGCGAAAGAGCAAGGTTTTGTTGTGGTAGAAAAGGAGGAGCTTGACATGATAGACAACTTCTTCAGTGAGCCCACTACTAAAAGCTGGGAGGTGAGTCCTTCTGCCTTTACTTGAATCATGTGCCAATCAAGTGTGTGTTCTCTGTTACCAATCTCAGCACTTGCTCTTGTAAAGATTTTTATGGTGTGTGCTGATAACGCTTGCTGCTCAACATAGATCTCCTCAAGGTTTGTATCTGTCTCACAAATGCACTTATATTCCTTCGCTCCTCCTTTCTTCTCTCCCTAGAAAGAGGAGAAAAACAAATGGGAGCTTTGTGGTGTATAACCAGCAGAAGTTGTGTAAATATTTGGGTTATGTGGTGTTAGCGTTTTGCAAAACTATGCAGGTGTCTGTTTTCAGCATCGCTTAATTCATACTGTATGGATATGGTGCACATAAAATCTCTGAAATGTATATGTACATGGGAACACCAGGGCAGGTTCCTGGATGCTGGCTGAAATGGGCTGGTATCCACTGCTGTGACAGATCCTTGCTTCTCAGGTGCACACAGCAACACTGTTTGAGTACTGTTCCTAAGATAGATAAGTTTTATCCTTGGACTTTGGCCTTTTCATATGGGGGGCTTTGGCAGGCTGTTTTAACTGCTCATCACACCTGTGTTTGTTGTCTGTCTTCTCTGCGTACAAAGCCTAGTTTCTAGGGGAAATAAATTCACACATTTTTTTTTAATAATTCTGAACACCAAAACACTTGCTGTGCAATGGTTATGAGATAAATTAAAAAAAACAGATACATCCTTAAGTGGGAAATTTCTTGATGGTGATTTAAAAGGTGACCTGATCATTTGTCTTAAACATAAACTTGTTTTCAAAATTCTACTGCCCTCTTTTTGCTTGGTTTGGGGGTTTTGGTTTTGGTTTGTTGTTTGTTTGTGGGTGTTTGTTGTGTTTATGGTGAGTTTGTTTTTGTTTGTTTGTTTGTTGGTTTGGTTTGGTTTGGTTTGGTTTGGTTTGGTTTTTTTATCATTTCTGATAAAACGTATACTTCCAAGTATGTTGTCCAGTTCAAAAGTGGAGGTCAGATGGGGGGCTTGTAATTTGAAATGTAGCCACATAGTCTCTTATCCCAAATAGCTTTTATTTTTAGTTTTGTAGTTTCTTAATGTTGATGCTTTGTGAAGTGCAAGATGAAGAAAAAGAAAAAAAGAGCCTTCATCCCTTGTTTTGGTCAGAGATGCGTGCAGTCGTATATTGCACTAGCTTTCACTGTTCAGTTGTTATTTGTGTGCCATTTTCATAAAACCCAACTGAAGCAGGAGGGCCAGTGACCCAAAGAAGAACAGAGGTGGGAGAGATCTGGCCACGCTGGGAGCTTGTCTCTCACTGTTTTATTGAAGTGTGTACTGGGAGAAAGAATTGGCTGGAAACTGCTCCTGAAGGTGTGTCTCTTTTATTTGTAATATATTTAAGCTTCACAAATTTAAAGTAGATCTGCCAGGAAGTCTCTATTGGAAGTCCAAATTTGGGCATGATTAGTGTGAAAGTTTCACTCTTCCTTGTGGGGAAACAGAAAGTGATTGTAGAGAAGCACATAAGCAACTTTATCACAGCATGCCACAGGCAGTAGCCATCTGTCATGCTTGTAGGCAAGAGCTCTTGCCACCAGAGTAGGGAAGTGTAGTGGATACTGTAAAATAAACTAGTAGATGATGAAAGGGAGACAAATGCCTTTGAATATTCGAATTCTTTACTGTGCCAGACCTGACGAGGGGGAACCTTTTGTGGAGGTATGTTGAACTGTGTCCCTGTTTGAACAGCGTTGATCTGATACTGCACTTCTGTCCTCGTAAAACATGTGCTCTGTACTCAGGTGAATTTTATTTCTACCCCAGGTAGCTTGCTTTCTCAGTTCTGTAAAAATCTTGAAAAGATTTGCTAGATCCATTTTCTGTAGTCCTTGATTCTTTTTGTCTGTTTCTGCTTTTACGTGGTCTGTAAATACCTGATCTTGCAGATCATTTTTTTTTTTTTTGCAGTTGTTGACTCTGAACATCATTCAAATGTGTGCTAGTAGGTATCTGTGCAGCCAAGAGAGGGGCTTGTCTGTCTTGTGGAGTCGAGTGGCAATTTATAACTGTATTAACAGGTTTTCTGTGCCTGCACCTGTGAGTTTGGTTGCATTTTGCTACAGATACCTATTGCTCATTGACTTACTGTGACATTTTCCCCGCCCGCCCTCCTGGTGGAGAGACTATTCCTAGAATAAGTCTTCGAAAGAGGAGTTGTGTACTTTGATTTAAGATGAAAAAAATGTTAATTAAAAAAAAAAAAAGGCAAAATAGAGTAATGGCCTGGGAGATGAGGAGGGAAGGAAACCCACCCAGGAGGTGGAAAAAGAACAAGGATAAAAGCACAAGTACCATTTTCTGTTAACAGTTTGTAGGCTTTTTTTTCAAATTTGTCTCAGTTTTGCAGTGCAAACCTTGCCTCAGAATGGCCATGTAGAAAATTCTTCCAAGCACTGGGTTCTCTGCAGCCTCAGAAGACCCAGGAGTGGGCCGGAGGAGCGGGATGCAGCTCTCACGGCCGGAGTGTGCAGGGCATGTAGCGAGCTATCCCTGCAGGCTGGAGGCTGGCCCTGTGGTCCTGCCCTGCTCGCTCTGCCCGGGGAGCCTGCCCTGGGCTCGGCTCCAGCCCGCACGTCAACACGGGCTGGATGTGGGAGCGTGCAGCTGATGTGTCACTCGCATTCCACTGGGGATGCTAGAGTGTGGCTGATGGTATTAGGGCTTGGTCCTACCCGTAGTAAACTTCTCACCAGTCCTGGGCTTTATGAAAAGCTCCTTTTGTGCTTTGTGGTGTAGTTAAATCTACACCTGGAGTCGTCCCGTGCGTTTGCTTTCTCGCCTGTGGGGTAGGTGTGTGTAGGACCTCCAGGCACTTCTTGGCAATTGTCTCGACTGTTGACAGCTTCTGCAAGTTGAAGCAGTGATTGTGAAGGCGTGGAGGAGTTATGCAAAACTTAACTCTCACCTTACACGTGGCTTGTTGGGAAGCCATGTTTGCAGGGAGGCGTGTGGCAGCGGCACAGCGTGCTGTGCAGCCACGTCTTGAGGTTCCTGCTGCAAGGGAAGACCTCTGTGGTGATATGCTTATGGAAGGAAGGTGGTTTAAGATTTCCCATTTGTTTTGTAGTTAGGCCTCCTGGCTTCCCCTTTTTGTTCTGTCAGCTCCATCCCTGAGCTCTAGCTGTTGCTTCCTGTTCACCTTGGTGGCACCAAGCCCCAGGTGAAGCCCCACTGCCTGGCGCAGTGAGCCTCATCTCACCTCCTGCTGCTGTGCAGAGCCGAGAACCCTGAGCTGCACTGGAGGGCTAGCAGCTTTCCAGCTGTGCCAGGTGATGCTCTGTGCCAGCCAGGAGGCTGAGCACCCCAGCAGCAGCTTGTTGGGAGCCAGGACGCATGGACCACTGCTGCTGAGCAGCAAGGCAGCATCCTCCCCTCTGCGGTGAGCTCCGGGCAGCGCGGGCGTTGCCAGGCTGGGAGCTCCTGCCACGTTCTGGGCTCCTCTGTGCTGCCCGAGCCACGTGGCGCTCAAAGCTTGTCACCCGTCTCTCTCAGCCCCTTGCAGGCCACTGAGAAGCATTAAGTGTATGGACTTGCATTCTCATTTTGTTTCCACAGGTAGTGTGGCTTAGCTGTAGTTGCTGAAGAGAAGACTGTGCTTCTTTTTTTAAGTATTTGGAAACAAACATCAGGTCAGACTGATTTCTACAGTCTGACCTTTTAAAATATTACCGTGTGGTCTTTTTATGAAGTCTTAAGCAAAGTAATCAATAGATGTTTCTAAAGAGCTGTTTGGTCATTTTCAACTAAGAATGTATTTTATAAAGACCTTGACTCTCAGAATTAATATTTTCAAGGACTTACGTAAACTGCATGCTCAGAATCTTACTTAGTATATTTCCTAACAACAGAGAACTTCAAAATACCTGTTCAAACTGATTTACAATTTTACTTCTTTGCTGTGTGCATTCTGTTTCAGTTTGTATACACAAAAACATGTCTAAGTCAGTAAGAATACCATGAAAAAAAAATTGTATTACTAAAAAGAAGTGACATTTTTTAACTTTTTCATATTCTCGTGCATTAGCACCTTAGAAAATAATTGATACCCTCAGCTAGTTGCAGGAGGAAAACCAGAACCTTCTGTGTCCTCATCAGAGTGCCACAAGACATCTAGTTCAGATGCATATAGAAGTAGGTGTGCTTCAGCCTTCTGACTTGGGCCCAAGTATGTCAGAGACTGATCACATGATGTCCCCTGGCTACCTTGGTGTTTACTAATCCCAAAGAACTCTACAGCTATGGGAGGTCGCCAGGGTATGAAGAAATTCTGACCGTGCTGTCTCAAAGACACCTTGCCAGTTAAGATTCTCCCCATTTGGCTAAGGCTGCCTGTGCTTGGCACAACTGCCCCATACAGTGGTTTTGCTCCACACAGTGTGACAGATGAGGAGTATGTTGTTTTAAATTAATTTGCTTCAGCAGAAGATTGATAGTGTAAGGATCCTTGTTCTCTTGCCTCAGATCATTACTGTAG